CCCCCATATCATCCTTTTAATCCGATCGCAACTTTCCGCCCCACAATCACATAGGTGCGGGAGGCTCGCAGACGGCATTCTCTGTTTTGACGTTAGGCTCCCTCCCGGGAGCGGTCCAGGCGGCGGGGCGCGACCCCCGCCATGGAGCGGACTTGTGCGGCCGATTACCCTCCGCTCCGACACAGTACTCAGTTCCGCATGCAGCCCCTGCGCTTCGCCATCCAGGCCCTGGGATAAGCTGGGTGAAATATGAACTTTCCTCACCTTCCGCTGGTAACAGGACTCGCTGCACAGCCGTGTCCCAGCGGGAGCGCGGGGGGAGGACAGCCGCCTCCGGGCGCGACTCGGTGCTTGGCCGCGGCCGCCGCAGGTCGCCCCCTCCCTCCTCCCGCCGCCGCCGGAGGAATCGCCGCGGATGCACCGGCCCAGCGGCGGTGGCGAGGAACTGCAGCGGATTTTGGGTTTCCCTCCCCCTTCCCGGCGTCTGGCCTGGTCCTCCCCTGCTCCGCGCTCCTCCTTCCCCGGGAAGCGAATGGCTGATGCGCCGCGGACCTAATGAATGATGCAACGGGCTTCGCTTCGGGATTAGGTTGCACGAGCTGAATTTTGAATGAAGGAGAAGAGCTGTTGATTCCCCCCCTCCCCTCCCCCGAAAGAAGTGTTGACTCGTTGGCTCGTTGTACTTTTAATTATTATTTTATTTAAATCTACGACTTAATTGTATTCTTTAAAAAATGTATCAGATATATATTTTATGGTAACCACCCCCCCACACCTATATGTCCATGCGCGGAGTTGAAGACGCGGCAGTCAAGTGAGGGCAGCGGCGTGTTGGATGTTCGGTTCAGCACCGGCGCTGCACGACAGTGGCTGGAATCGCCAGCGGTTTGTTTTTTAAAAAACCGCAGCTTTTAACACTTGGGCTCAAAGCTTCCCCGGAGGAGTCGCTCACCAGTCGAAGGACAGCCAGCGGGACCCGAAGCCACCAACCATGTCCGGGGAAGTGCGCTTGCGGCAGCTGGAGCAGTTCATCCTGGACGGGCCGGCGCGGACCCACGGGCAGTGCTTCAGCGTGGAGACCCTGCTGGACATTCTCATCTGCCTGTACGACGAATGCAACAACTCTCCGCTGAGAAGGGAGAAGAACATTCTGGAATACCTAGAATGGGGTGAGTTTGTTATTTAATTGTTATAGAGAGTTACTATGAGTAAACTGAGTCTATAAACATATGTAATATACGGTATAAAGTATGTAATATAGTATATATAACATTGCCATAATATGTCATATGTAATATATAAATAATATTTAAATATATATATGTATATACACAATAAGAGAATAGACACCAATTATTCCAGAATTTTTTTTCTAGGTTTTGGTGACTATTTTCCCAGGAGTACAACTAGGCTGCTCAGTTGTTGCCACGAATTAATGTGGAATTTACGAGAAAGACTTAGGTTTTTAGGTCAGCAGTTAAGAGCTTTTGAGTAATTCTGTGATGGGCAGAGCTGGATGCCTCCCGGGGGTGTAACAGACATTCAATGCAAAGGTATTTATTAGTGGAAACATTCCTTCCCAGACTTTGGAAATCGCTCTGGAAAATGGGAGGAGATACTAAAATAGCTGACGTCACAGGAACCCGAAGGTGGTTATCGGCGGGTTTTATTTCATCCCCATTTGGGACAAGCAGAGGAACAACTGCACATGGACTTGCCATGAATTGCCGTGTTTGTAGGATAAAGTGACCTACACGTTCAAACACGTTGTGGTGGTAGTTGGGAGAGAGTGTTCGGGAGCAGCTCCTGCCTGAAGTTTGATTTGCTCTACATTTAATTCATATCTAAAGTGGTCAGTGTTTTGTCTTCGTTCCCCTGAGTATGGATGTGGTTTGGAAGACCCGCTGTAGTGGGAAGGAGCATGATGAGAGCAGGCGCTCCCAGGTGACCTTCACGCCGTGTCCAATGTTCCATCCAAGTCCATTCACGCGTCCAGCTGTTGGCATCGCCCACCTGCGTTGGTGCACGGCTTTGGAAGGCTCAGCCCCAGGAGCGCTGTGTTACCTTCGTAAAACTGGGCATTTTAGCTTGTTGGAAAGTTTTGATACGAGAGTGTCTTTGTTCCCAAGTCAGCTTTATGTTCCTGGAGTAAAAGTCAATTGGTGATTATTTTGTTTTGTCTTTTAATATGAAATTTATTAAAAGTTAGCTTGTCAGGTAAATCACTCATTTAAGATTGCTTACATGTAAGTGAATAGGATGGTTTTTTAAAACGGAATACCAGACTTTCACTGGGAAGGGAAGAATTCTAAACCACCTTTCAAGTGACTTCTCTGTTAAGAGTGAGACAATTTTGACTTTGGTACTGGTTTTGTATGTCTTATTTTTATGTGCAGAGTAAAATATTTTATCACATGTAGTTTTACATCCCATGTTTTAGAAATTTAGAACTATTTTAGAGCGATTTTTTTGAGGTTTAAAGACAAGTTTTTGGTACTTTTAGAATTAGAATTTCAGTTTTTGAATTATGGTTCAAGAACTCATTATAGTCTGATTACAATTGCTATTATCTATTCTTATCTTCAGAATAGTCGAAGAACTCTTTTTATGTACCAGTAATAAATATACTTTTAAAATTATGACAAGAAGAGAAAACCTTATGCTCAGTTGCCTTTTGTATTAAGAGTTTGCGTAGTAGTTTTATGTTCTGAGATATTTTGCTGTGCAGTGTTATCAGAATAACTCATGGATGTTTTCCACTAAATATGTTTCCTTGGGCTTTGTTTCTTATATATATATTTTAAAAACTCATTATACATATTAATTTAAGTGAAACAAGTCAAATAAGTATTTGGCCAAATATACTCTATTTTTATTAATATATTTTAAAAGCATATTAAACCAGGGACTTTTCACAATTTAAAACAAATTCAGTTTTAGTAATATGCTTCATGTTTTGTGGAAATCTGATACGACATAACAAAAATGTTCAGTCTTTTAAGTAAACTTCGATTGTGTTTCTCAGTGATAGAGAACCAGAGACCAGAATTTTTAAGGACTGACTTTTTGCACCTTTGGGCCAGGTAGTGTCTGTTGTCTCAGTCATTTTTAAGTTGGGAGTATGAGGTCTTGTGGGAATTATCAACCACAGAAGTTTGGGTAAAGAGTAAGAAAAGGAATGTAAGAATGGAGAAGCTGTCGAGATGTGCCATAAGTAGTCGTTACTATCTTTAAGTTATTTGAGAATTTAGGTTATTTAAGAATGCCATTCTCTTCATTTAATTTAAGTATTGAAATAGGTCAGTTGTTCTTCATATATGAATTGATTACTACATTTCGGGGAAATGTCCAATTTTTTTTTTCATTGCCTAACATTATATAAAAACAATTAGATTAAGAAAGTTTCCAGCTAGTGACTGGACCGCAATTTAATTTTTTAAACTTTTTTGGGGGTCTATAATGGAAATTTACAGGGACTATTTGTTGGGGTTAAATTTGCCAATTTAGATTTTCCTTAAAGTGATACAGTTTTTAGTTTGAGTTTTAAAAGATCCAATATTTGCAACAGGAGAGCAGTAGTAGTTAAATACTTTATAATAAATGCTGTATATTTGTGTGTGGCTATTTATGTTAATCAAAGTGTCATCTACATATTCCTTATTTTTATGCTTATGACAGGCTACTTTTAAAAAAGGAGTCAGCCAAGATTCTACCTTGCTTTATTTCCATCATTTTCACTTTATTTCTAATTATGGCCCATTTCACGTTTATATTAGTGCAGTTAATGTTTTGTTCATTACAGTGTCATGACAATAAGAAAATGACATTCAAGGTGAGCTGTGTATATATTTGGCAGCATCCTTGCTTAGTGCTGATGGCGTGAGGGAGTAAACAAGTAGCGCTCCAGAGAGGAAGAGGGGATTAAGCCAATAAGCAACAGAGCAAGGGGATGAGACTTCCCTAAGGCCATAGGTCACTTTTACATTTAATCATACATATTTTCCAGTTATATCTAATAAGACTTGAACGACTATGTTTTGTCTCCTTTGTTTTTTAAGTTGTTGAAATGATTATGATTTGTATGTTCATAAAATTAGAGTGTTGATGTCAGTAGTCTAACTCTAGAATAAGTTACAGTAGAGTTGTAGAAGTAAAAATAACTTCCTAGTAATAACTAAATTTATTATTCATTCAATTGGCCACCCTCTACTTTGAAATGGGAAATGGGAGTTTAAGGTAATTCTTTACTAATTTACTTAAAAAATAGATGTAAAATGGTATTACTCAATACAAAAGAAACATCTTAGCTGTTTATATGTGGATAACTGGTTTTTGATACTTCCTGAATCTTGGACTTTGTAACATTTCATTTAAATTAACCTTAAATAACAGTAATTTTATAGCTTGTTCAGTGATACACAAACACGCACACTAACCTGAACAATGAATAAACTTGTTACTAGAGTACATCAGCAGGTACTGTGGTGTGGGGAGCCGATATAGGGTTAAGCCTTGGACTGACCTGTTGGCAAAGTCACAAACAGGTCTTCTTCCGAGTCTTAAACAACCCAATCCGAGAGGTGGCCGCTGATTTACACGCGCTGTCATTTAAAAAATAAAAATGGGGGAATTTGCCGGAAACCGGACCATCCTTGCTGCTTGACACAGTCGCTGCAGGGAAGAAACATCTGCACAGCTTATGTTTCAAGGGACCTGGCTTATATGGCATATAGTTTGCTCCCCCTCTTAGCGCTATGTGTTTTAAACAGGACCACCTCCCCAAGAAAGGTTGTTTCCCCAGGTTAGGGATTAACAGGACTAAGGAAGAGAACAAATCAGTAAATCCCCCTAGTGTTACAGAAATACCATGTACTACTTATGAAGAACTTGGACTAAGACTGTTGGCAATAAATTTGGGACTTGTTGGACCCACATCCCCAGGGGGTCTGCCCACCAGGGAAAGCACAAAAGCCTATACCCCTGGAGACCCACCAACACAGGGCAGTCCCAGGGAAGGCAAGCAGCGAGGCTGGGAGGACATAACCTTTACTGGGTAGGATAATCTCCTTCAGTCACTTCCTTGTAGCTTATCAATAGAGCAGTAGAATAGTGACCTTGGAATAGCCCTTATGATGGAACACAGAGATTAACCTAGACAAGATTAAAATCAACAGAACTAGATAGAGACAGGATTTTTGGCAAAGGTCAGATAAGAAACTATGGAAATGAAACAAGGAACTGTAGAACGTTACCCAAAACATACCATGATGTGATTATAGAGGCATGCTTATAGGGTCAAATGGTATAAATACAGATGTAACAGGACAATAAAGAGAGAGAACCCAACTATGCTGATCAACTGAACGCTGCCTCCATGTCATTCCTTCTTCGCCGAATCCGTCCACACCTTTGGGAACCCCTGGACCTGCTGGGGATGGACCCCAACACTGTGGTGTTAACTTTTCCTTTCATTAGCATAGTTTTAAAGATTATTCACATTTTTTTCATGTGTGGGTCAGTTAAGTGAGGTGATGATGACTTGATTAGAAGGATCTGAATCTTTTTGAAGGTATTTTGTCCTTCACTTCGGCTGTTCCTCATCATTAGCTTTTCCTGAGTAGAGTTTATTAATCATACCAAATTGTCAACATGTTCATTTAATACAGAGGATTAAAATTATTTTTTTTAAATCCTCAATTAGGATCTTATAAATGTCTCAGAAATATAGCTTGGGCACTTATTTCCTTTATACTAGCCACCTAATAGTCTATTCTAAGAAGAATAGTGAATAAGTACAGCGATTTGATTTAACACAAGGCTGGCACATGGTAGAAGCATGTTCTCTAAGTGGTGGCTATTATTTTTCCATTTCTTTCTTTTCTGTTTTTAAGAATCTATTGCTTTATGAGTGAGAACAGGGATGCCAGAATTAGCACTTTGAGAATTTTAGGAATCTCATGTGGAATTACAAGGCATACATTAGCATAGCAGTGTAAAAACAAAAAACAAATAGCATAGTATGTTGTAAATTTTATGAAATTTCCCATAATTCCTAGGACTTGATTAATATTACATATCAAACCCAGGTTATGTTATGGTAAAATAACTGAACTTGTTACTGTACTATTCTGTGGCAGTCAACAAATTTCTCCAAAAACCTTTTTTCTGT